AGTGCCCCGGCCCCGGGACCCCAATCCCCCAGCCCCACCACAGCCCGCTCCCGGCGGCCGCCAGTGAGCACGCACCCGCAGCTTGACCTGGGTCCTCTTACGGAGCCACTTCTCCCGGGGGCTGGTGGGGCTCAGTGCCGCGGGATCCAGGCCCATGCTCTCCTTGACGGTCACACTCTCGTAGCGCATCACCTGACGAACAGCGGAGCAGGCTCCGGGTCAGCCCGGCCGCCCTGCTCCCTCCGCCCGGGCTGTCAGGCCCACCAGCCGGTGGCCGGCCAGGCCTCCCCCCCGCCCGCCAGCCTGGGACCCTCAGCGGGGCTGGGAGCCCCGGGACCTGACAGCTGGGGTCAGAGCACGGGGCTCTCGGGCGCTCAGCCTCTGCCCGCCGCGCCCGAACCTCACGGCGCCCGCTCTGTACCCCTTCTCTGCCCCACCCCTTCCCTGAGGCCGGCCCCTCCCTCCCGCCCACTGCGGGCATTGCTCTTGCTGCAGCTCCCCCCACCCCCCCACTTGGTCCCTCCCCACCGGGGCGTGCCCTCTAGCACCCAAACATGCTGCTCCCGTGCCCGTCCTGAGGATGGTCTCCATGCCTCTTAGAGCCGTGGCATCTCTCCGTGGTCCCCCACAGCCACACCCCCCAAACACCCACCGCACCCCGTGCAAGCCTCCCGCCCACCCCACCCCTCCTCTGCACCTGCTCCCGGCAGGCTCGCCCCAGGCCCCCCAGCAGCCACTGTGCACGAGGCCCCCTGACTGCGCGCTGCCCAGCTCAGAGGCTCACTCCGCCTTCTGCTCCGTCCCCCAGGGACTGGTCCTCCACCCTCCGGATCCACGGCTCCCTCCCCGGAGGTTCTCTGCCTGCATGACTCCCTCAGCGTCTGGGGGAGTGTGACTACAGACCTAGTCTTTGTTTCCGGCACAGAGCTCCTAAAACCCTTGCAGCTTCCTAAATGCTGAGACCTAAAGGTGCCTTTTGTTAAAGGGGTGGCATGTGGACCCCACCTAAGGGGAGGCTGGAGGCCAGGAGAACTCCCAGTCCCCCCACTGACCAATGCGGACGGATGACGGGCTGGAGGTCGAATCAATCACCATTAATCAATGGTGTCTAAGTAATGAAGCGTCCACGAAAGCCAAAAATAGGGTGAGCGCACGGGGGTGCTGGTGGGTGGGGCTCCTGGAGGGGGCAGGGCGGCCCTGCCCCTGCCCCACACCTCGCCCTGGCCTCTCTCCCCCCTGCTGCCCCTGAGTTGTGCCCAACAAACTGACAATCCAGTGAGTAAGGGGCTTCTCTGGGGCCTGGGAGCCACTCTCCCTAACTGATGGAACCCGAGGCAGGCTTGTCGGACCGCCCGGGAGGCCCAGGCGACAACCTGCACTTGGGATTAGCTCCTGCGGAAGGTGGCGGCCTGGTGGGCTGAGCCCTCAGTCTGTGGGCAGGTGGGGTCAGAGCCGGGCTCACACTGTCTGGAGCAGGAGAGCTGCCGGGCGTGGGGAACCCAACGCACGGGAATCAGGGGGCCATGCCCGTCACTGGCTTACGCGCCATCCGCATCTGCCCCAAGCCCCAGACTCCGCTCCCCTGCACTCCCGATCCCCGGCAGGCACCCCACTCTCCCCTGGTGCGCACCCAAGACTCGGCTTCCCACACTCCAGCCTGGCCCTGCTCCTCCCCAAACCGAGAAGCCGCCCCCGCCCCCAGGTGCTCGGGGGACAGCAGGGCCCGCGGGCCTCCCCTCTGTCGCATCCGGTGGCCCCCTGGCCCCCTGCACCAGCACCCAGCTGCCATCCCGAAGCCGGGCTCCCAGGCTGGCCTCACAACGGGCCTCCTGCTTTCTCTCTGGCCCACCAAGCAGCAGACATGGGATTCCCTTGCAGACATGCGGTCAGCTGACCGCTCTCCCTCGCCCGAGCCCTGCCGTGGCTTCTCGTGGGGCACAGAACAGAATCCATCTCCTGCCCTCGGCCCCCGAGGCTGCACGTGGTCCGGCCCCACCTCCCGGCCTCCTTCCTCCCAGACCCCCCCAGTCGCTGGCCTCTCTGAGGACCCTGAGGCCCTTGGAGGGACAGGCATTTGTCCCTTGTCTCCAGGATGGAAGATGGGTATGTACTCCCAGGTACTTCCTCTTTCATTTTCTAGAACGTACCACACTGTTGGCCAGAAGCCCGTGCTCTTCATGAGACCCACCTTCTGACCTGGCGACCCCCCACCTGGCTAACAGCTCCGGGGCCCAGGGTGGCCTGCAAGGTCACCCTCTCCCTTGCACAAGGACGGGCCCTCCAGGAAGGGGCGCAGTACCTGTCTCAGGATGAAGGCCACCACATCTGTGGACTCCCAGTAGCTGGCGTGGAAGAGGTGAGGCAGGGCCGCCGTGGGGAAGGCCGTGAGGACATCGGGACAGTAGAGGGCATAATCGATGCGCTTGGTGCCCCACCACTTGGCCGTGACTGTGGGCCCGAGAGCAAGGTGAGGACAGCGTGGCCTGCCTGGGCCGGGACCCACGGGGCCGTGTGGGGCCAAAGCACCCAGCTCACACGGAGCTCCCAGCTTCCCGCGGCCAGCAGCCCCTTCACCTGCCGCCCCCAGGGCATCCGGTCTCATCCCCGGGATGCAGGGATTCCCAGTGGGAGAACGGAATGTCAGGGTTGGGGCTCGGGCTGCGGTCGAGGTCAGTCTAGGCCACGGCTCTGTCCACAGGGCTCTGTCCAGGCCAGAGGTCAGAGCTCAGTCTGAACTTCCTTTATGGTTCCTGGCCTGCCCTGAGCAGCCGCCCCAGGGAAGGTCCCTCTCCCTCCAGCCAGGCAGGGCCCCGAGGACCCTCACTCACTGTGGGAGGCGCCCACGGGGGCCAGGCTGTCCGAGGACCCCGAGCTCTCGCTATGGGAGCTGTCCTGGCTCATCCTCCGTCCTGGGTGCTGGGCCCGCAGGGCCTGGGGAGATGAGGCGGGGGCGTCCGGAAGCGGTGGGCTGTCCCGCGAGCTGCCCTCCAGGAAGAGGGAGCTGTGGGCGTGTAGAGCATCAGCTGCAGGGGGGACGTCACAGTCAGGGCGAGGTCGCGTGTCCCCGAGCTGCCCACACTGTGCCATCCCCATGCGGCCGGGAGCCCGGGCACCCGGAGGCACCAGCCACCTCCCACCTCCCACTTCCCACCCTCTGGGGCCCCCGAGGGGCCCCCTGCACCCCCAGGCGGGCTGGGTTCCACCTCCGCTAAATCGTGGCCCTCACGGGCACAAGGGAGTCTGCGCATCTCTGGGAGATGCTCCAAAAGCACGGGCTGAGGTCACGGGGTGACCCATCACCACCTGCTCTCGTTCAGACTCGTCCCTGAGCCACGGAGGACTGCGGCCGGGCCTGCACGTGAATGGCACTCCCGCCTGGGGGCTAAGGTGCTCTCTGGGGGCAGGGTGTTTTAGGGTGCGCGGGGGGGAGCACTCAGAGCCATTTCTGTCTGTGGAAGCTCTTGACAAGTAGGACTTTGGAAATTAAGTTTCTGTTAAAAATTGGGGGGGGGGGGGGGCAGGGCTGGTTTTTAATTCCCAACGAGCCACAGGCACTGCACTCTCCACCCAATCTGCCCCAAAGCTCTGAACAGGCTCTGGCCAGACTTCCTCAACGGGGACACGGAGCCGAGGCCCTGGTCTCCTAGCCCTGACCGCCCAACGCAGGCCTCCCCTTGTCCATGCCTGGCTCACTCCACTCGCGCCCCGGAGGCCACTGGCCCTCCCCCACGCCCCCTGCCCTTGCTCCCCCTGCAAAGTTCCCCTGGACCCCCATCCTCCAGGTCGTCCCTACCTGTCCCAATGCCATGTCCAAGGCCCCCTCTTCCTTGATGCCCACCGGGTGGGGACACTCCGTGCCCTGCCCCTCCAGCGTCAGCACCCAGCGTGGGCCCCTGGACTTGCAGCCAGGTCTGGCGGCTCGGGCACTGTGCTGGTACCAGCTGCAGGAAGCCGTCGGGGGCACAGCCTGGAGCCCCCAGGCGCCTCCCGCAGAGCAGGTGCGCACACGGTGGGATGCTGGGGAGGCAGGTGAGATGCTGCTTCCCTGGCCTCGGGTCGGTCGGAGCTGGCAGACCCAGCTCTGCAGGGGCTCGTGCCTCCTTCAGCTACCCTGGCGGGACCCAGCCCCGGGCGCAGCACACCCTCGCACCCCTGCGAGCCTACCCAGGAGCAGGGACTGTCCATCGCCCAGCGGGAACCTCTGGTAGCGGGGCACGCTGACAGGCGGCACCAGGTGGAACTTGGGCTCCAGCAGGGGCTCCAGCCGTGAAGCCGAGGGGTCCGCACAGTGGAAGAAGCTGTATACCTGGCCGCAGGCGGGACGTACCTGGAAGCCTGGGGGTGAGAGGTGATGGGGTGACGGGGTGCTCCCCCCAAGTGCAGCTTTGAGTCGCCTACGCCCCTGCTCAAGCACCTGCCTCGGCTCCCTGCTACCAACAGGGGCAAGGCCATTGTGGAGTTCGGCACTCAAGGCCTTGCCGATCTGCCCCCTCCCCGCCCAGGAGCAGCACCGGAGGCCCCAGCACTGCAGCCGAGGTGCTCGCCTGCAGCCCCCCACCCAGGCCACGGTGTCCCCCTGTCTCTGGGCCCCTGCTCACGCAGCCCCTCCCTCCGCTATCTCCCTGAGTCAGGCTCCCGCAAATCCGTCCGGCTTTCATGTAGCCGCTGCCTGATCTGCAAGGCAGACATGGTCCGTCACTGTGGCTCGGGGCCCATCCCCGAGGCTCCACGCCCAGGCTGCACGGTAGCCGGGTTCACCGCCGCCCAGAGCCGGCAGAACGCTTCTCCCACAGACCAGCAGGTGTCTCCACTGGGGCTCCCTGTCCACCGGGCTCAGGGGGCTGGCCGGCCCCCCGTGTCCAGGGAGCCCTGGCTTCCTTGGCAGCGCCAAGGGCGGCCGTGGGATTCTGCCTCACTCCCCAGCCCGCCTCGGGCCGGACGCCCCCTTCTCATCCATCCCATTGCGTCGGTGAGCGCTGGTGCCAAAGCAGTTTGAGAAGCCCCGACATGCGGACCCTCGAGGCGCCCTCAGAATCACGGCGGAAGCACGCTGGGCAGATCACTGCGCTGCGTGGTTTAGAGCAGTGGGGGCAGCCGTCCAAGGCTGAGGGCACTGTGTGCGCCTGGGCACACGCAGGGGGCAGTACGGCCGACCGGCTGCAGCAGGCCTCTCTGCCTGGGCGCCGGGGATGGGCGGCCGCAGGAGGGTAGACTCGGCTTCTCTGAACAGGGGCGTGAGATCCACCAGCACTGGCGTACCTTTGCCCTATCAGGGGAAACCGCGCCCCCGTGCCCCCGAGCCCCTCCCCCAGCCAGAGGGCCTGACCCACCGCTCCAGACACACAAGGCCTCTCAGGCCCCAGCCCAAGCCACCCACCATCCAGCCCGGGCAGCACCGTCCTCCGCATGGCCAGAACCAGGCCCAGGGGCGAGCCGAAGAGGAAGAAGTCAGACACGTCGAAGTCCAAGCGACCCAGGCTGACCTCGGGCGGCTGGGAACCCCCGGCCGCAGGGGGCTCGGCCTCATCCTTCAGCACGCTGGAGTGGATGCTGCCCCAGGGAGAAAGGGCCGGGAAGGCCGTTAGGGAAGCGTGCAGGCTGAGCGGGGAGAGCCCAGCCCTCCATCCCCGTGGCAGCCTCCAAGCCCACACCAAGCTCCGTGCTGGCCACCAAGGCCTGACGTCTGGTGAGGGCAGGGGTCAGCCGGCCCACGTTTCCTCTGAAGGGCCACATGGTAAGCGTTTCAGCCTTCGGGGGCCATGGGGCCCCTGCCCCGTCTAGTCGGCAAGCAGCCAGAGGAGACACTTGGACAGACACGCATGGCCGCCATCCAATAAAGCTGTATTTTCCCAGCGGGGTTGAGAACCTAGGAGCACCCAAGCACCCCCGCACAGGGGCACGCCTGCCTCCACGGCGCCGGCTCTGTGGGGGCCGCCCTGTGAGCTCCTGCTGGGGCTCCGGAGAGGCCTGCTGCGCACACCCCCGCCCGCCGGTGACGTCAGGCCCACCGGGACTGGGCCTTTCACCGCAGCCTGCAGACACAGCCGCACAGGAAGGGGGGGCCGGGTTCCAGCCAGTCCCGCCCCAGGCGCCGCTGCTCAGAGCCCAGCCTGACCTGCAGCCAGGGACCCAGAGCGGCTGCCCAGGACAGGCCGCAGAACCGGGGGCTCCCTGACCTTCCCGTTGGCCCTGACGCACAGCTCAGAGTTTAAGACCACCCGGGGGATCCCTGGATCGATAAGGCGATTAACTGAACGCAAATTCAGCCAGAACCCTCAGGGTGGACATGAAAGGGGATTTTAGAAGTAACAATGCGCGAGGGTCCGGGAGGGCCCGGGAGGGTCCGGGAGGGTCCGGGAGCGGGATGTGAAGGCTCGCACCGCGAGGATGGCGCTGGTGTTGGGCGATCCGCACGTCCCTAAACACGCAGGCCAGCTTCCTTGCTGCCCGAGAGACAGCCATCCGTCCCTACCACAGGGAAGCTGGCTGTGCTGAGCCAGCTACGAGGGCCTCCGACCTCTCGTCATCCTCCAAATCAGGGGCCTTCTTAAAGGATTTCTCAAGGATGAACCAGGAATGTCACAACGTCACCTTGCAACCCGCCTTGAAAGGTGGCTGTCAGAGCAGCTTTAAATACTCCGAGATTTGACTACGCAGAGCCTCTGATCTAGCGGATTCCCCTCCAGGAGTGCACCTGAGTGAAACAGCCCTCACACACACAGACCCGTTTACGCGCAAAGATGTTCATCGGAGCGCCACCTGTAATTTCAAAGCACGGGAAAAGCCACGCAGCCAAGTCCTGGGACGAAGTGAGGTGGCCATTCACTCAATAAAATATTCCCTGTAGAAAATATTCACCAACTACTTATTATGTAGGGAAAAAATCAGAAAAGATCACAATAGGAGGGTGTTTTTCTTTTTTTTTTTTAAGTAAAACTAAACGGGAAGCATGTAAACGGTATATACAAAAAGGAAATTCTTAGAAATGCTCAGAGCAGGTCTGTTTTTCAGAGCTTGTGACGACCTCACGGTACTTGTCAGTGGGGTAAGAAAGGAGAAGGGACAGAGGGCAGGGGCAGCCCCTCCTGGGTGGGCTAGCACCGGCCCGTGTCCTGAATGAACCTGCAGGTGACTCACGAACTCCGGGCAGGAGGCACCACCCTGGGGTCTGGGAGCCAGGACGCTGGGCCCAGGGCTTTGGCAGCTGCCCATGCGACCCCAGGAAACTTCCCGGCCTAGGGGGGCCTCTGCTGCCCCATCTGGGAAATAATAAGAACACACACCCAGAGTGCATCCCAAAACACACCCACATCCACTCTTGGACCACGTTCTCAAAGCCATCGGCGAAGCAGGCCGGCAGCGTGGGCCCTTTGGCAGAAAGAAGGCGCAGCACGGCCCAGGGAAGGGGACGGGCTGTCCTGGGCCTCTGCCAGTCGGGACGGAGCAGGGACAGGGTGCAGGGCCCACACGGAGTGGCCAGGGTCCCAGCACTTCGTGCTCACCCACGGGGCCCCGGAAGGGCCTGGCACCCATGACCGGTCTCAGGCCTCCCAGGGGACTCTGAGCCGGGGGCCCCCTCTGCCGCGGACACCGTGCTAGAAGGAGCGCTTACCTCGACAGGAAGGCGTGATGCTGGGTGATGGCCTCACAGTCGTAGGTGGAGGAGTCGCTCTGTTTCCGTGGCAACGGCCGCTGGGGCTCCTCATCCTCCGGCACGCTGGACACATCGATGCTGCTCTTGCTGAGACGCTTGCTGCTGGCCAGACCGCACGCCTCGTCCGCCACAACGGGGCTGTCCTTTGGGGCCACGCAGAGGAGAGGAGGGCACTGAGCTCACCGGAGACTCCGGGGCCCCGCCTCCTCCCCAGGGTCTGCGCAAACCCCCCTCTCCTGAGGTGTGAGGGCGGCATTCTTCCGAGGAGCCCCACGGCAGCAACGGTGGGACTGCAGGCACGGGCGACCCCCTGGACTCTGGACAGCTGTCCAGGACCTGGCCCTCAGTGCGTCCCACTCTTGGGGGACCGTGAAGCAACGCGGCGTAAGCTCGCTACCGCAGACAAATGGGACGGCTGACGCCCCCTCCCCCAGGAGAGGCCCCTGCTGCCCTGGGGCTGGGGGGCCCCCAGGGACAGACCCCCGCCCCATCCCCACCGTCTGGCCCGCACCTGCGTGCTGCTGACACTCCCCTTCCGGCTGCTGCTGCCCGGGCTCTCCCCCGAGGGCCCCACACTGTAGCAGATGGCGTCAAAGGCCAGGAGGCCCCCCACACAGTCCCCGATGAGACACACCTGGAGAAGACACAGCTGGGACTGAAGGCCTGCCCACTGCCGACCCCGCGCCCCCGTATCCAGCCAGAGCACCAGGCACCTATCCATGGGAAGGTAAGGAACCTGTCCCGGTGAGATACGGAGAGAGCCCCAGTGGGGGACAGGTGCTCATTCTGCGGTCATGGTTGGCCTGACGACAGCA